TCCGTTTAGCCATGAAGAAACAAAATAGATCATTGGATGAATTGACATTTGTTTCATTTACCGGGATCTGGGGGTCTATTTATTCTATTGTCTTTTTGATTTTTGTTTTGGTGGTTCAATTCTGGACTGCATTATTCCCAATTGGTAGTAAAGGAAAAGCTAGTGCTGAAAACTTTTTCCAAAACTATTTAGGTGCAGTTGTCATTTCGGTATTCTATTTGGCTCATAAATTATACAGTAGAAGATGGAGAATTTGGAAGAGCTTGGATGATATTGATTTAGACACCGGTAGAAGAAATGCAGATTTGGATTTAATTAAAATGGAATTAGAGGAAGAGAAACTTGCAAATAAGCAAAAATCATTCCTTGTTCGTATGTTCAAATACTGGTGTTAGCAATGCTGATATCCGTAACAAAAAAAATAACTGATATGTTTATAGTCTTTATATATATATATATATATACTTGTTACGATTAATGAAATGAATGTTAATTATTATTATCAAGAATAGTTGTAGGTTGTTAGTGAAAAGAGTTGCGAGGAGTGAAAAGCGGAGAGATTCAGTTGGACTTTATTGGTTGATAATGTAAACGGTTTTATTAGTGGGGAGGGTGGGTTAATCAATTTATGCTTGTAGTGGTAGATGTTACTACCTTTTAAATACTTTTAATTAAACAATTATATCACTACTGAGTACAAGTTACTAAGCTAGTACATAGTCTACTTAGTAGATCTTCGTCTATCTGTTATCTTCATGACAATGCAGTAACGGTAGTTCCGATACTCTTCGGTTTCTTCTTGCCATCGTTCTTAGAAGCTGATCTTTTTCTCTTAGCAACTTTCGTAGGTCTAATTTCACCTTCAATATACACATCGTTCAGCAAATCATGCAACTTGACTTTTTTGATTTGAATAAAATGCTTTTCCGAATCATAATCTTGCCATCCTTTACAGATATTAAAAAACTCGGTACATGGATACTGAATATCTAATTTTTTTCCAGTATCTTTCTGTAAATCAATCTTTAACCCAATAAATAATTTGGTCAAGTGTACCTCGACTTTGCTTTCTTGTTTCTCTTCGTCCTTTTTAATGCTATCAGCCCTTGGAATAGATTTAGTGAGCAGTTCACCTTCCAAAGTGCCATACGAGTTAACAACTGCAGAAACTTCTTCTGAATCTTTGCACAAAAAACCATCTTCAAATGTTTTCACATAAGGGTGTGCCAATTCAATGCCTTCGACTAACTCTAATTTCTGGACTAATAATCTCAATTTACTTTCCACCATACCACCATACTTCAAATGTTCTTCGGAATTCGACTTAGTTGCAGCCACTATACATAAATAAAATTTATACCTGAAAAAAAAGTCATGTCTTTCAAATAAATCTGACCATGTTTTTGATCCCGAATTAATTCCATTCATAATTTCAATTCCTCGCTGAAACTCACTTAGAATTACCTTTTGGGTGGAGCTGGTTATATTATGGGTAGCACACATCGAAGGGTAAGCAGGAGTTATAACTGGCATTCTATGTTGACGATCAGGAGCATATAATTTTGGGTTCCATACTCTAACCTGTAATGGCCCGTCTTCGATTTGCTTCAATAACACTGGTTGTGGCCATGCCCACTGGGAGTAAATATGAAAAAATTTTTCAATAATCACAGCACTTACCGCATTTGGATATAATTGGCATATTCTAGCAACCAACATTGCCCATGCAACACCACCTGGAAAGCCAAATACGTTAGCATATATTGCTCTCTGCTGGGCCCACATTTTAATACATCTCAAAGCATGCTTAAAAACAGTTTGTTTTGGCACCAATGTCAAAATTTCATCAGTAACACGGGTTCCATTTAATGCTCTCAAATCTTTCTCATCTATGTTCTTTAATAAGTTCTTATCATCCAATGTTAAATCTCGAGATACACGAGGAATATCTAGTCTTGCAAAGATCAAATCAATCGAAATTCCAGCAAATTCTATTTTAATAATAGGAACAAAGGCATCTGGAACAGGTGCAATTTCTTCCAACTCATCTCTGGTTTTAAGTAGTTCATAAAATGTTTCAAAAAAGTCATTTCTTGTTACGTGCTTGGGAACAACTATCAATGTATCGATATCCGAACCCGGTCCATAAACGCCCAATCTATAAGAACCAAAAGTAAAAATTTTTCCTCCTGCATCCTTGGCCATCCCTTCTGACATGTTCTTTTTAATGGATACTTTAAATACAAAGTCCTCTGTCATCTTTTGCAAGATATTCAACACTTCAACCCTTTTCTTAGTGGCTGTCTCACTTTCAAAGGAGCCTCTCTGCTTCAATTCTTTAATTAATAAATCATTAAGTTCATTTTCTTTAGCTGTAGGATTTGCTACTGAAATAGGTGGTGTTACTCCAAATGTTTGATTACTCATTGGTGTTTATCATATTAAGTAGCATCTAAAATTTTTATCCAGTCGATGTTCACAAAAAAATGCGTGTTCTAGATTTGACTTTTACCAAAAATTACCCGGATTTTATGACCAGTTTTTCGTTGAACAAATCAGGTGCAGAAGCAAACGCTTACTGAAATGAGACTATTATATGATACTTAATTGACATAAAGGGATTCAAGTTTCCCCTCTTAGCTATTTTTAAAGGGATTTCACGGGAAAATTTAGGTGTTATCTATTTCTCACATTCAGAATCGTGAATCTTTGAGGGGGGCAACGAACTAAAATCCAGCTTCTGTTCGTTCGCTCAAAATAGCAACTTTTGTTCTACACTTTTTTTTAACTCTAATACTAAATTTGCTATACCAACAAGAAAGAAAATGGGACTAACTTCTAAGTTGGACAAGCTCAAAATCGGCCATGAACATTCTGAAAAAGCCAATGCCGTTGATGGTGCCGATACCGATGATATCGATGAAATGGACAATGAAGGACAATCCATACTTATGGGTATTATAGCACAATTAAGACCTGGGATGGATTTGTCAAGGATCACACTTCCTACTTTCATTTTAGAAAAGAAGTCCATGTTGGAAAGAATTACCAACTTTTTTCAGATCCCGGATCTTTTGTTAAAAGCCAATGAGACGTCTGATGACATGGACAGATTTATTCTTATTCTTGCTTGGTATTTGGCTAGTTGGCATATAGCTCCCAAAGCAGTAAAGAAGCCATTGAATCCAGTATTAGGGGAAACTTTCAACTGTTATTGGAATAATATTCAAGGTAATCATTCTGCCTATTATATTTCCGAACAGGTGTCTCATCATCCTCCTAAATCAGCATATTTCTATTTGGTACCAGATTCAAAGATTAAGGTTGATGGGATTCTTATTCCTAAATCCAGATTTTTAGGGAATTCATCAGCAGCTATGATGGAAGGTTGGGCTCATCTTACATTAGGAGAACACAACGGCGAAATTTATGAGATGAATCAACCTAATGTATACTGCAGAGGTATCTTATTCGGTAAAATGAAAATGGAATTGGGTGATCATATGTTTGTTAAATGCGAGAAAACTGGGATTGAAGCTGACATTGAATTCAAGACCAAGGGCTTCATTAGTGGAACCTATGATGCAATTGACGGTTATATCAAGGATTCAAAAACGTCTGAAAATAGGTACCACATAACAGGTAAGTGGAATGAGGTTATGGAAATCAAGGACCTTAAAACTGGAAAGAAAAGAGTATTAGTTGATACTAAAAAAACCATTCCGGCAAAGCCGAAAGTGAGATCATTAGACGAGCAAGGGGAATACGAATCAAGAAGGCTTTGGAAACCAACTGTTGACGCGCTTGCTAAAAGAGACCACACTGTTGCTACTGACGAAAAATTCAAGATTGAAGATGAACAACGTGATCTAGCAAAGAAAAGATTAGAAGACGGAGTTGAATTCCACCCAAAATTTTTCAGACCTGTCAACGACAAAGAAATTGATTTACAGGACTTAGAATATGTCATCTACAAAAAGTTTGATTTGAATGATGATCCGGAAATCTTGACTAAAGAGGTAATGAGTATCGCTCCTATTGTTCCAGGTCAAAAGTATGAAGAGAAGTTTGAGATTCCTGCTTTCAAGAAACATGAACAATCATAATGTACTTTTTACTTTGACATATATTTATAGTGTTTTTTTTGTTTTTTTTTTTATTTTATTTAATTAGATTTTGAACTAGTAGAAGTGTAAAAGTTCACTAGTCTGTAGTATTGTACAGGATTTGAATTTTCTCGAAATAGTCATTCCTGTATATAGAGTGTTGGTGTTGGACAACAGTGCGTGTTATTTCTAATTGAACAAATCATCTAATTCAACACCAGTGAAATTCATTTAACACAAAATCCTTGACACTTGTTGGATCCAACGTTAGTGGCAATGAACGAACAACTAAGATCCTTGATTAATTCACCCGATTTGGGATTGTTCCAATGCATAAATTTATTGAGAAAACATACTGACAACATTGGAGTCCATCATGTATTGGTGAAGAGAGTATCATCCTACAGCTATGACGAATTGGAATTCTTTATACCACAATTTATACAATTACTTGTTACATTTGAAACAGAGTCAATGGCTCTTGAGGATTTTTTATTGAATTACTGTTCACAGTATCCACATTTTTGTTTGATAGTTTTCTGGTATCTTCAAGCATTTTTATTTGAATTGAGGAACGAACCTGAATCATACTCATTTCAAACAGTTAGAAAGTTCATCAACAAATTGCAAAACATATTATTTAATGTTGACGCATACTTTCAGTCTAAGAAATCAGAGTTTCGTGAAAATTTACAGCCATCGTTGGTATTATGTGGTTCTGTAGCTGGTGCATTTAGTTTACCTTTGATGAATGAATACGTATCTCCAATTGTTCGATCCCAGGGCAGACAACAGAAATCGTTTGTTTTCAAGTTGGCGAATTTTCAAAAGTCTTTAACTAGAAACCTTACAATGAAGAATCAAAGGATGTCGTCTGACAACAACTCGCCATCGTTTTCTGATGATGATGGTAAAGATGTTCATAAGGCACAAGATGCTGTTCACCAGGAAATGCATAAGTCCAATAGAAAGTACATGGTACCGTTACTGCTGGATGATTCAGAAGCCTATACAACTGATGATGAAGAAGTAAATGCATTCCAGGGTATTAGTCAATCTAAGCGACACCAGATAAAATATAGTGATGTAGAGGATAGCATCAAGATCAATACTGTCATCAAGTCTAAAAAGAATCGATTGAGAATATCCAGCGAAACGCAAAACATGCCATTAATTGAAGATGGAAACTATAATCGAAGTTCCCAATCTTTACCAGACTTAGTTAGAACTAAATCCAGGCCTGATGTATTTAGTACTGAATCAGAGGCAGCATTGACAGCGTCTCGTAATTCATCTGATTTAATGTTTTCAAAAAGATCTTCTTCAGCTTCATTTCATAAGGTAAGACCTTATCAAGAGTTATTGAAAATTCTTCAAGTTAATTATTCTAAGAAGGAAACAAATTTTATTATGTCCTTACAAAATGTCTCCTTAAGATTATCACTGGTTCCAAAAGTTGCTAGATTATCTGCATTGAGAGCCGAGCTATCAATAATTAACGAGAATTTACTTCCATCTGAAATTGATATTCCGCAATTATTACCCATCACTAGTAATAAAAATAAAAAGTTTCACAAGATTTTGAAGTTGAACATCAATGAAGCCTGTGTATTAAATTCTGCTGAAAGAGTCCCGTATTTATTATTGATTGAATACTTAAGTGATGAAATTGATTTCAACCCATTTACAGACTACAATCAGAAGATAATTAACGCAAAGTTTGAAAAGTCTGATTCAAAGACTAACGATCAAATCAATGCAAGAGATGACGCATCAATTGTTTCTCAACCAAAAGAATTTACAGAACTTGATGGTCCATTCAACGAGATTTATAGTGAAGAAACGGATTTGGGTGAACTCCCAATGCTTCACCTGAGGTCATCAAGTAGGGAATGGCCAAAACTGGGTGCAGCAAGTCCTGTTGCAAGATCTCCACAAATGGACTATAAGAACTACCTGGGTGACTCACCTGTTATTTCCAGTACCGTTGATTCCCTGATGCTTGCAGATCAAATGAGAATCGCCTCTCTCATGCTTCAACAATTAGAAAATTCAGGACAATCAAATACACAACAGTGTATTGCGATAAAGAATAGAATTATAGATTCCATGATCTCACTTCAAGATCAATTTGAATCTATTGATTATGAAACATTAAAGGAGTTGAAAACAGATGAACAGGATGCTGGAAAGAGAAAATTGGAAAACGATTTTAAACTCGCTGAAGATTGGAATGCTAAGAAACAGAGAATTAGAAAGTCTAGTGTTTTTGGTCATTTACCAAATTGGGATCTTTGTTCTGTAATTGTGAAAAATGGGGATGATTTGCCACAGGAAGCATTCGCTTGTCAATTAATAACCATGATTTCGAACATCTGGAAAAAACATAATGTGAAATACTGGACGAAGAGAATGAAAATTTTGATAACCAGTGCTAATGCTGGATTAGTGGAGACAATCACGAATGCAATGTCGATTCACTCGATAAAGAAGTCACTTACAGAGATATCTATTGCAAATGGAAAGAACTCCAAAGGCAGGATTTTTACATTAAAAGATTACTTTGAAAAGTTGTATGGTTCGCCAGAATCAAGAAATTATATTCGTGCACAAGAAAATTTTGCTAGAAGTTTGGCATCATATTCAATTATCTGCTATGTGTTGCAAATTAAAGATAGACATAATGGAAATATTATGCTAGATCACGAGGGTCATATTATTCATATCGATTTTGGATTTTTGCTTTCAAATTCACCCGGAAGTGTTGGTTTTGAGGCGGCACCTTTTAAATTGACGACAGAGTATATCGATGTATTGGGTGGTTTGGAATCAGATGCATTCTTAATTTTTGTTCAGGTTTGTAAAGACTGTTTTAAGGCTTTACGAAAAGAATGGGAACAAATAGTCAGTATTGTCGAGCTAATGCAGAAAGAGTCTAATCTTCCTTGCTTTAATAATGGAGATAATACTAGTGTCTTACTTCAGCAAAGGTTACAGTTGCAGTTATCAGAAGAGGCTATTGATTCATTTGTCGAAGTCTCGTTGATTGAAAAAAGTGTTGGTAGCATGTACACTCGTTTGTACGATCAATTTCAAATGATCACTCAAGGTATATATAGTTAAATAGCATAAATTTAATTTGTGTTACATTAGAAAAGTTCAATCGCATTTATTAACGTCGATATTTTTTTGATGTTTTTTTTAACACGTTTTACAGAAACTAATATTCAAAACGATCAAAAGCAACCAAGATATGACATATACTTTCCGCTTCCCAAAAGTGAAGAAAAGGGATATTGGTTCTATTAAGTTGTTGACCAATCCTGACTCGTTTGCAATTTCGTCTGTTCATGTCACCCCTTGCACAACTACAACATTTTTCCTGGACCTGCCAGGAAACGCCTCCAATTCAATAAAAAGCACTTTCCGATCCAGAAACAGCTTTATCATTGCAAGAAACATACTTTCAAAGCAGTTGAGTGAGAAAAATACCAACTTCAAGAAGGTCTCTAAAGTGGTTTCATTAGTATGTAAAAAAAATCAAGATAGGTGGTAATTGAACCGTATACTAACAATCTTATTTAGATCTGGAAGCAGGTTGGGCCTTCTTTTAAAATTTATTTTGAATATTTATCTATTATAGAATCGATTTGGTATGAAAAGAGGAACTCTAACTTGGCCATGGAGGCTACTATAGTAGATCCAAATGGTAATTACATAGATCTTTGTTCCAGTTCTTATGAGAGTCGTAAAAAAACCAAGAAACGACTTAACGGGCAAACTACAAAGTTCCGAATAGAGGGAATAAAGCCTCCTACAGTTATCAAGAAAAAGAAGAAGACTCCAAATGGTTTCAAAATTAGTAGAAGTATTATCAATTGCAACTACGGCATACTTACAGAAGATGTGTTTCAGGAATAGATATCCCTTAACTTTAATTTCTGTGTAGTGCGTACGGTGTGCGAGTTTTTGTGACAGATAACAACATTCAGTGTGATGTATAATATTTTTCTTCAATAAATTGTGAGGAAATCCTCACCCCGTAGTAGTTTATTAATTTAATTCGTCAACCATGAATTCAGAAATCGATAGCTGTTTAGAATTATTAAAAAGCGTCAATAAGTTAGTGGAAATTACCTCCCTATACGCAGACGACACCCATAAGGAATTATTTGAGGATGTAAGTCGTGATAGTTATTCCACTTCGGTTGACACTGAAACTATCTTTGATGATTCATTGTCCAGTTTAATTAAGGTATGTATATTTGAGAGAATAGATATTGATTAGATATATTGAATAGATATTAACAAACAAAGCTTTCTTCTATTGTTGGTCGTGAGCATCAATTTGAACTGTCCCTTAGAAATTTATATCATACCATGCTTAAAGCTCAAAAGGAAGAGGAGGAAATTTTGACTGTTACAGAAGAAGGAGGAGATGAATTCAAGTTAGCAAAAATCACAATTTCTGTAAGTGATCAGGCAGATGATTTTCGAGCCTCGGATAAAGAGAGCTTAAGTTCAGAAGAGGAAGGTAAAAAATTGAAGAAGAAACGTCAAAGATTGGATAACACTACAAAGGAGTTTCTTGAGAAGGTATTCGAAAGAAAATCTCAACCAAACAGACGGGAAAGAGAATTGATTGCTGAAAAGTATGGTATCAGTCTTTCACAAATTAGGGTTTGGGTATGTATTATTTTCTATTATTTCCAGTTCATTTTATCTGAACTATTAACTAACATAACACTGAAGTTTACAAACAAAAGAATGAGAAAGAAAAAACCGGATTCTTCCAAGAAGGAATCAGATAAGACAGATGATACTTAGGTATTTTTAACTAAATTCCCTTGCCAGCATTATTTGTTTGTGTGATAACACCCAGAATACTTCTTTCTATTTTTTTTTTACCCCATGGCGATTTTTATTACACATTCTTCCCCATTTGCTATTTACTATTTAATTTTCTATTATATTGTTTATTTACAGAGAAGTCTATTAATGCGATATATTTTTGTATTATTTTACCCTTTATTATTCTATTGTAGCTTCTTATTGAATTTATCACTTCGACCTATTTCTTTTAAAACTCGTTTAAAATTCCGGTTGTTAGTGGAAAACACTTTAACCAACATCCTTTTAACATCCTCACCTTTATCTTCTTTTAAACAAATGTTGACCAATTGATAACATTCACGTTGCTTCATCGTATACTTCAACCCCTTTTCCTTGATCTTATCGAAAAACATCAATAAGAACAGTAATCTGTTTATCCCTTTTAGACTCTTATTATCAATGATCCCTGACACAATAGGGGTTAAATAATTCTTAATGGCTGGCAACTCTAACAACTGTAATGATTGTTTAAAATCCTCAAGTACAATTGATTTGAATAGCCAGTGCTTAAACCAAATGCTTTTGCTATTGAATTCAACAAGGGAATTGACATATAAAACTAATTCTTTGGGAGATAGTCTTCTTTTAATAAATTGAAAAGTTTCACGATGTAGTAACTTTAAAAGATACTCCTTTGCCTTACGGTCTTGGGTGTAGTAAAAACTGTTGCTATCCATATATCTGGAGATTATTGACATGATTCCATTTAATTGTGATGGATTAAGCAATGATAATGTCTGGCAGTATGCACGCATTGTGTTGTGGAAAATTTTCCTATCACTTGAAAATTGAAACTGTTGATTGAAATCACCATTTTGCTGGACTTTAGGAAGGGTAGTCTTAATAAGAAAGTTAAACACTGTAGTTGTGAATGTTTCATCTATAATCCCAGCTCTTAGTAAAGTAGATCTATTAAGCTCTAATATGGTATATTTAGATGTGATTTTGGATGCCAAGTAAACAAGTTGGTCTGCTGTTGGACTGTGTCGTGTTGTAAGACAAGTGATTAACTTTCGTGAAATCATACGGGTTCTACTAAATGGGATAATCATGCTGTACACTTGTTCACAAGTAAACTTCTTCAAAAAATACTCGAGAACCATCTCTTGGGTCTCTGGAGTATGAATTCGAAGTAATGCATAAACATCAACTTGCAAGGGGAGAAGTACATCAAGGACTTCTATGAGCAAATTTTTGTCCAACAACACCGCAGTAGGTTTATAAATAGTCATTAATTCATTAGGTTTATTCAACAATGCCCTTGTTAAATGATTGATAATTGGTTTGTTTAGGGTCGTTACCGTTCTAGTATAGCCAGTAAATATAGAATATGGTTTGATTACACCACCATGGAGTATATACAGGGTATCTAATTCATTTAATTTTGCCTGGTGGTTAATCAAATAGTTTAAACTGGAAATAAATGGTAAAATGTATTCTGGTGCATACAAATTTGATATAACCGTAGATGATTCAAACTGGGGAAATATCAGATTGATCCAACCACAACGGGATGTAATGTTTTGAAAATTGACAAGATACTCTACTATAGTCCGATGTTTGAGGTTGTCTTCAGATTTCAACAATTCCATAAGTCGCTTCAAATATAGGGTATCATTTTCAAAACTCTTCTCTAACCCATGGTGGTAACTAGTCAACTCGTCGATGGTGTTGATCTCATTCATCAATTTCCAAATTTCCAATACATGACTGGTGTCAAACTCAGGTTTGATGGTATATACAAGAGAGTCAATAATTTGGTTATGGAAATTTTCATTCAATTGCAACGGTAGACTGAGTACGAAATCCAAAATGGCAAACTGATAATTATCTTGCTGTAGTAGTATACTGTTTATCAACTCGAGGAAATCATCAAGATCAGAAAGGGTATCATAATTTTCAGAAAAATGGTTCCAACAAGCAGCGTAACATCTATGATATAATAATCTTTCAAAATATACCCTCTTCATATTCTTTGGGATCTCATCGTTGATAAAATGTAGATATAATCTTGGATCAATGAGTATAGGATCATAAGATAAAATAGTAAACAACTTATTCTCTTGATCTAGACACTTTTTCAACTCCTCGGATAACTTTGGGACTTGTTCAATAAATGCATGGATTGGTTCATCGGCAATTTTCTGGCCCTCATTTATTAGAATGTCAGTAAAGTATTGTGATATCTTCTCTGGAATAGACCTTTCTTGATATGAACAAGTTTCTTCAAAAAACGGCTTTTTCGATAGTAGTCGTATGCTAGACGTTTGTGTTAATGTATTTAGTATTATAGGTCGGCTCTTATATAGTAGATGTCGATACCTAAACATGGTTTCGTCTGCCACTACCCTTCTTCCCTTCTCCAAGTTTATTAGAATTTTTTTTTTTTTTTTCGTACGAATTTTTCAACTGTTATTCATTTCTCAGAATTGATTTTTTTTTTTTTGTGAACGATTTTGACTTATACTTTACCAACCGTGTTTCTCCCCACCAACAAACAATGGCTCAAGTCATATGGAATTCAGACATTGATGTGTATAACAAAGATGTTATACCGGTAAATATAGCAAGAACTATTGCAGGATATCTTCCTATCCAGGATTTATTATCATTTTCCCTAGTTTCCAAAAATACCAACCTCGCTGTCAATGACCCCAAACTATGGATCTCACGTTTGAAAGGAATGGATGTTTGGAATACCGCAATATCATTGTCCAAAGAAGATATCAAAAAGAATATTCAAGGAGATTACTTGAACAGTCCTTTGACTTGTATGGATTATGTTTACAAATCAAGTAAGAATGCAAAGTATCAAGTTTTGAAAATCTATAAATGTTTACAAGGATATTACAACGACTTGTTGATTAACAAAAACTACAATCGATTAAAGATATTTAAACATTTTCACACCCCTGAGGACCAATCAAAGATATTAAAGAATTTATTAAAGTATAATAAAATCGATTATATTGATGGATCAAGACTGATTGTATACGAAAAGATTGTTGAATTGTTTGAAATTTTTGAGAATGCATTGTTGAGAGAGTTGGAGATTCATTTTGATATGGAAGATTATGAAAGAACACAGAACTTTGTTAATATTTTAATTGGTTTGAACAATCAACAGACGTTGATTGATTTCTTTTTGCAAAAATCCATATTTGATGAAAATAAGGAGATATTCAATTTAGAGAAGTTCAACGGGGAAAAGTATTTTAAGGACGGCAGTATAAATGTTGATGTCTTGGATCGATTGATAATTGATATTTCTGATGTTTTTAATGAACAGAGTCATATAATTGATTTGATATTCCCCGAAACTGTGCCCATAATGTATAAAGTATGTGAAGAATTGATATCCAACCAGTTATCTGAATTGCTAATGCTATTGATTGAATCGTCCAAGAAGTATGGGTTGTATTTTCAGACAGTCCCGTTGGTCTATGAAAAACTTACTGTTGAATTCGTTGAACACTTGAATGATTCGAAAAATCTTGGTGTGTCTTACCGACAATTGGTAATTGAACTATTGGATATGCTGTATGAATCTTTTGCCGCTGAGTATATGAGAGAGGAAATATCGTCGTTCAAATCTGAAACAAAGAATAAATTGGCCAATTGGAAGGAAACAATATCCAAGCGTGAGGCAGAAACATCACAAAAGATTCTTGAAAGTGTCAAGTCGGAAACCAAAAATGACTTTTTAACTAGTTTTAAGAATGTATTTGCCATTAGTAAAAAAGACGACGATCACGAGTCTAAATATTCTGAAATCCAAGCCAAGGCTAAAATCTTATCGGAAAACATCAAAAGTATG